ATTACAATAAGCCTACATAGGCAGTCAGGTTTTATAAACGCTGGTGAAATCTAGAAGACTTTACACGTACTATTATTAGATAGTACTATTATACAATGTATTTGAAATTATCCATTCTTTATAATTATTTATTTAAAAATTCTTAAAGTGTTTATTTTATTTATCGAAGGTTTACAAAAATACACCTAAAATAGCAATTGATCTTTAAATGTATTTTTAAATATTGACCTTGGATAGGAAACCTTGAAAATATCTAAAATTTAACTGAATTTTCAATATTTTTATAATTTGTAATAAACAATATCCCTTCTATTTGTGTGATAATAAATCCGAAATTAAATAATACCAGTTGACAGCCTCGTATTGTCTCAACAAACATTCACACACAATGGCTACCCCGTGGGAACACCATACAAAATTTATAGCAATACATTTTATACATATTATAATATTATTATGGAAGAGTATATTTGCTTTGTCTAGGCCCAGTTCAATTAAAAGATATTTGAGAAACAATTACAGCTCAAAATAGTACATTATATTTATGTTAATCTCAGAGGTATAACAAAATTTAACATAAGTAATGTAAATAAATTTTTATTAAGACATAAGACGATATTATAATATTGTTTTTGTATAGTATCTTATATATATATAGCCAAATAAGAATTTCTTAATGTTTTTTTTTATTTAATTGCTAATGGATTGTAATAAAAGTGATAGTGTTTTGAATAGTTTCCTGGTAAATTGTAAAATATCGCCTGGGTTCAGATAACGGTGAAATTATTGTTGATTAGCTTTAGTAAGCACAAAAACAGTTACTACAAAAGATGATCAATCGTCTTTTTAATGCCCATGCCCCAAAAAGTTTCTTTCGTTTAACTTCTTCCTAGCTTAGCACCTCAAACCAACAACTTTGTTATAAATTTGATTACCTACTCATTCTTCCGGATCAAATGTCTCGTAAAATCGATTAAATTATTCAATTTCTTGACAACCGCTTCCTCCCCTTAGAAAATCTAAATGAATTTAATATAATGAACTAACAAAAAGTTAACAATATTAGCGGAATCGCACGGGATGTCAATGTCGGCAAATTGGGCGGACGGCACGCGACACCGGCAATATTGGCCCCGAAAGAGCAACTAGCGCCAATTAGTAGCACCAACGAGCCGAGCGCGCCACAATGGACGATAGATTAACTCACTAAGGGATCATTTTAAGGGATTACAGCGATACACTGCGAGACATTGCTTTTTGAACACGCCTTTTGCGTTCTGAAACGACCGATTTAGAAAAACGAATAAATGCTCGTATAAAAAAGTTGGACATTCGAATATCTAATTTAATCATTATTAGGTGTTTGAATGTTTGGCTTTAAGGTAGAAATCCCACGTCTGAATCACTGAATCACTGTTTTTTAGATTGATTTATTATTCCTTAGTCAAAAGCAAAGTAATGATACATTTTTGCATTTTGTCAAGGTACCTAATATTTAAGCGCAGGAAATGTAAAGTAACTGTTTTATTGATTGTGCTTTGAAAAACTGAGTATAAAGCAGCAGTATACTTTAGTTTCATTCTACAAAGGTTTTTAATTAATATTATTATAAGAAATATGAGTATAACAATAATCAATAATAAGCTAAACATCACAAACTTAATTCAAAATTTAAGGCTAAATGAGTCATTATACTTGAAAATAAAATGTGTATTACTACTGATTTTTATTTCATCTGTGTTTCGCATCGTTGTTGTTTATAAGCCTTCTCCAATTAAAGATTGTCAATAAAGTCTCGCTAAAATTGTCCATGAGTGTAGTAGAAGCTAGTCAATTAGTGCAGTGATTGCGGGCGGCACGCGGCCGGCACGCGATAGGCACGCAAAGATCACACTAAACAAATGTACTATGCAGAACGAAACAATTAATATATCAATATAATCATTTATTTCATGACATTATTTCTAAAAATAAATAAAATAAGAAGTAGGGAAATCCCTAATAATATATTTCATTATTACTTAACGAACTGTTTAAGGAAGTCAATACTATGATATATATTTATCTGTAAAAAAAATTACACGAGCTTCATACAATGTTTAAATTATAGGCTCTGAATGAGCTGCACATTTTTTATGATTAATATATTATTATTCTACTCTATAATTATTATATTAAATTCAGTTTTTCATTATATGTTTTCAAAATTTACTTACTGTGTTTCGTTAACAATTTCCTAGTAATTTCTTCCTTCCAACCTATCATTCAATTCTCTTAAGAGAACAATTAAATTGTTTAATATTAAAAATTATGTATAGGGGGAGGTACATAGGGGGGTATATGAATTTAAGAAGGGCTAAGATTGGCATGGCACTAAAAGGTTGGGTCTTTTTATTAAATACTTGTTTGCAAATGTTTATTTAAGTTAATGGTATAAGGGAGTTATGAATTGCAGTGTTGGCCTAGTAGATTCTACGTGTGACTCTCATCACTGAGGTCGTAGGTTCGATCCCCGGCAGTGCATCAATGGACTTTCTTCCTATGTGCACATTTAACTTTCGCTCCAACGGTGAAGGAAAACATCGTGAGGCTACTTGCCTTAGACCCAACAAGTCGACGGCGTGTGTCGGGCACAGGAATCACGTACTTGCCCATAAGAATTACAAATGATCATGAAACAGATTCATAAATCTCAAGCCCAGACCTAAAAAGGTTTATGTTATTTTTAATTATGAATTATTTTAGATAGGTCTATAAACTCTTAATAATCCTTCTCAAGAAGGTAGTTTGTGCAGCCTTTTGCCTGTAACAATAGGATTGTGTATACTAAGGATAAACAAGGGTATATATACCTATATAATTAAATATATATTACTAAAAAATAATATAACCTAAAACAATGCAGGTTACCTCAATATATATGTAATTAAAATTAGCTACACTCCTTAGTTTTCCTTCAAATAAATAATGCTTATGTATGTGCACGTAATGACGTTGGCTGTGTCTGTTTATTTGTCCCTTGGGACGACTGTGTTACGACTAACTGTTGGTCATAATTACACAGCATAAATGAAAATAATGTATTAGTTAATATTAGTTTGATGTGATAAATGACGTTTGAAATATATATCCGATTTTCTTTTATATTTGGTTATAATGGTGTTCATATATAGTTTAATTTTATATAAATATAAGTAGTAGTTATTGTAATTTAAATAATGGACATGTAAACATAAATATGACATAATATAATAATAATAATTTAATTCTTCCATATAATTATTGTAATTTAAATAATGGTCATTTACAACAAACAATAACAGGATTTGAGAGTGAAATGTTATGGAAAAGGTTAATTTGTCACTGACAGAACAAGTTGCAGACTTACCCCTGTCACCCGGGTCGTGAATCCAGCTTGCCTATAATAACAACAAAAATTAAAAAAAAATACTATACTTAAATATCTAAAGAAATATCAGTTTAGCGGGTAATGTCCAGTTGTCGAAGTATGCAACCATGAATTATTGCAGTTGCAGGTTGTACCTTGGTGGAAAATATCATGAGGAAACCGGCATGTCTTAGACTGTGAGTGTAAAATTCAGAAACGAGACTTAAGCGCGAACTATGAATTCGGTATGTCAAAATTCAATAAGTGTTTGACATATGGGTGTCATACTTAGCGAGTGTGGTACTGATCTCTTTGCATTTTGAAAAATAATAAATAAAACAAACGCGTAAATCTGTCTGCCCCAAGACACCTTTGTCACCCCTAAACGGGGTTATGGGACTTCCGACAATGTAAAAAAAGACTAGTTTTTATCTTAAAAGTTTTATTTACGTAAAAAATAATCACCGTAAGGGGCCTCCAACAGTACAGTGAAATTCACGCCATAAGTTGTATGAAATGCACTAAAAGTATTTTTAACCCAAAATCACGTAATCCACCTGATTCTAAATATACCCGGCCAATGCACTCTGCACTTGCAGCTTCATGCCACACATATGTGCAGGAACACATCCAGTACTTTGTGCCGATGGTCTCGTGAAGGGAAAATATACTTAACATTTATACTATGAAGCGATTCCGTAATATACCTAGTAAATAGGAGATGCAAAAACACATGTGAATCCTAATTATCATTATATTACCTAATTAAATTATAATATGTATTTTAACACCTGACCAGCCGAAAACTTTAGGCTTTTTATTCATTTAAATATTGTTATATTGTTATGTTGATACCGAGAGATTTCTTTCCTTGCGGAAATATCTGTACCTAATTGTAAAAAAAATATATATGGAAAACGTAGCTTAGCAATTTTGTTGTATTATATAAAATTATCTTTCGTACTATTAAAATGGATAATGATAAACGGGTTTTGATGTTTAAAAAGTGTAAGACTGATTGAACAGTGTTTTATATATAAGATGACCTTGATTTTTTGATGGCAATAATTTTTGTCTGAGACATGCTTTGCTAAGACCTTAAGTCTTAGAATGCAAATTAAACCGCCTAGTTAATAGAAATAAGGAATGTTAAAATTAGTTTTAATTTTTATTTCTGAGAACTGAGATTTTTGATAACCACATTTTTGCTATTTGAATTAAAAAAGATTACTTATATTATGTAATTATAAATTGTTATATACAGCTAAGTAAATGTTGCGTAGCCGCGCGGGGGCGGCCGGCAACGCCTGAAATGACTGAGGGCGGGCCGGCACTGCGATTTACGACCTCTTGCGGGTCCCGGGAGAGCCGTAGAAGCCTTTGAGTTAAATAGGAACCAAAAAAGGGGTTGTCAAATCTTAAAAGAATCGTTAAATGATTGTGGAAGCTGGTTAGTAGGTGTCGCAGGGCGGCCGGCGCGCGCGCCTTGTATGGCTCGCGCCGCGGCGACTGCCCGCGGTATATAAGCTCAGAGCGGCTAAAGCTGCCGCACTCGCAGTCTCGCTGCCGTAGAGTCAACTCCAACGCGTCCCAAAACACAAACTCAATCAAAATGTGCGACGACGATGTAGCAGCGCTCGTAGTGGACAATGGGTCCGGAATGTGCAAGGCCGGTTTCGCCGGTGACGACGCACCCCGCGCCGTCTTCCCATCCATCGTGGGCAGACCCCGCCACCAGGGTGTGATGGTCGGTATGGGTCAGAAGGACTCCTACGTCGGTGACGAGGCCCAGAGCAAGAGAGGTATCCTGACCCTCAAATACCCCATTGAGCACGGTATCATCACCAACTGGGATGACATGGAGAAGATCTGGCACCACACCTTCTACAACGAACTGCGTGTCGCCCCCGAGGAGCACCCAGTGCTGCTTACCGAGGCTCCCCTTAACCCCAAGGCCAACAGGGAAAAGATGACCCAGATCATGTTTGAAACCTTCAACTCACCCGCCATGTACGTCGCCATCCAGGCTGTGCTCTCTCTGTACGCCTCTGGTCGTACCACCGGTATCGTGCTTGACTCCGGAGATGGTGTTTCCCACACCGTCCCCATCTACGAGGGTTACGCTCTGCCCCACGCCATCCTCCGTTTGGACTTGGCCGGTCGTGACTTGACCGACTACCTCATGAAGATCCTCACCGAGAGGGGTTACTCTTTCACCACCACCGCTGAGAGGGAAATCGTCCGTGACATCAAGGAGAAGCTGTGCTATGTCGCCCTCGACTTCGAGCAGGAGATGGCCACCGCTGCCGCCTCCACCTCCCTTGAGAAGTCCTACGAACTTCCCGACGGTCAGGTCATCACCATCGGAAACGAAAGATTCCGTTGCCCAGAGGCTCTCTTCCAGCCTTCCTTCTTGGGTATGGAATCATGCGGTATCCACGAAACCGTATACAACTCCATCATGAAGTGTGACGTTGACATCCGTAAGGACTTGTACGCCAACACCGTTATGTCCGGTGGTACCACCATGTACCCTGGTATCGCCGACAGGATGCAGAAGGAAATCACCGCCCTCGCACCCTCAACCATCAAGATCAAGATCATCGCTCCCCCAGAGAGGAAATACTCCGTATGGATCGGTGGTTCCATCTTGGCTTCCCTGTCCACCTTCCAACAGATGTGGATCTCCAAGGAGGAGTACGACGAGTCCGGCCCCGGAATCGTCCACCGCAAGTGCTTCTAAGCGCAAAGTTGAGTGGAAAGGGGGTGCTAGTGCGTGTGTGGTGGTGCTCTCGTGTCCGGTGGGAACGCAAGCATTTCGTACGTTGTGCCTAGTGATACCTGACAGAACTGAACATCTAATGTAACGCCATCTATCGTGTAATGTAATTTATTGTAAAATTTATATAAATTTAATTTTCTTTTTTATTTTTATTATACACGGGATCGTTATGGATCTCAAGCCAAAATGTAATTAATAAATAAACGGTTAATTTATTTATTGTAATTACAATATTATTTCTTTTTATACATCCGCGACTTTGCTTTTTATTAGATTCGCCTCGACCTAATATCCTATCATACTAGTTATATTATTGATTACATATACACACTTACAATAGTTAAAAATCACACTTGTAATCAACAAAAGTGCCTAGGGATGCAAGGCTGCATAAGCATTCAGCATTCCTATCACAACGGCCGAATATAGCCCATCTGACTAACGCCTCTCACTACCATAAATAGTAAAGAGGGCTGCCGCCTCCGGGACGTCTATTTTAGTGGCAGCGGTCGTCATAGGAACATCGCAGTTCTAACTCACTATACACATCCAGGGATTTCTCCCCCTTCACCCCCTCACACCTAAATCGTCGCTGTCTAATAATACCCGACTCCCGCACAGTTCAACGTTATCGTGACGTACCCAGCTCATTTTACTGAAACAAGCTGAGCTCATAGATGTAAACAATGACGGTCAGAGCTCTATAGTCTATATTTGTGGTCTTGTGCTAATATGGCAGTATATCAGGCTTATGCAATAATTTTAATAAGGTTAGTCATAAAGGTATTATCTCTGACAATGTGATGAATCAGATTTCGATGTTATTCACGGTGGTTAACAGTGAGTGTATTTTGAGACTCCCCCGCGGCCGCTACTTGTATGGCGCACTCAACGCACACTATTTTTGTTTCAGCGCGATGGGGATTTACGATCGTACATATTTCTATATTTACAAATACATTTCATTCATCACTTATGTTCGCAATTAATTTCTAAACTCGATAACAAGTTGCGCGTTTATAGAAGTTTAGAAGTAGTGAAAATTATTTTCTGTGTACTTTTCTTATAACAGTGTTCTATAGACATAATTTAATTATCTTCTAACATTCTGTGATTATAATATACGTATTCATATCATTTAACGAATTATAATTCGATATTCTTTAGTCTTTTAAAATTCTAGATGATTTCCGCAACTTTTTCTTAATGGAATTAATAATATTTGTTTAAGTATTGGCATACATAAAACAACATCTTTGCGTTTTCATTATGACGTGAGATCGGTCAACCATGCATGCTGTGAACCACGCGAAAATTGGAACAGTTTGATAACGTTAAATATCTGTAAACTTGTGATTTTAAAGTAAATTTTATTCGGGATCCTATAATATCCTTTATTTTATTCAAGCTTAGCAGCTTGAACAAAAATCTGAAAATGAGAAATCCAATAATGCCGCGCCATTAGCGCGTACATTACACGTCCATTACACAACAATACATTAATCGATACTTGTGATTGATCCGTCTTCAGACGTCGACACATTAAACTCTCGATCACAATACGTATTATTCGTGTTTTATCGAGTCATTTCTTCCCCTCGCTGCCTTAAAAGGGTTCACTCGTTGAGTGCTTAAATACCTATTGTTGGCTTCGATCAGCGTGTTGGCAACTCTACGAGAGCTATACAAGACGCGGGGTAAATGGTGTGGGCCGAGATTCATAACCACGGTCGCCTAATGAGGTGTATTGGACTAACTGTTAGAGCTAACAAAAATAAATCTATAGGGAACTCTAGTTGGTTTACTAAATATATTATTTACATTTTTTACATACATACATTACATATTTAGTTGGTTTACTAACCAACTAAATATAAATAATATATTTAGTACAGTAATTGTTTTTAAAATTATTAGTACATCAGCATATTGTGTCTTACTTTTTTTACTGCGTAGTAAGTATGTAGTATATTTATAAATTTAGAATTACAGTAAAAGCTCCCTATTCGCGCTTCCTTTATTCGCGTTTTCACTATTCGCGGATTAAAAAAATGCAACCCAATTTCTTTATTCGCGGCAAAAAATTGCTTTATTCGCGGATCTAAAATTTCATACACAATTCCAATAGGTTTTTAACGCAATATCATATAGATAATATGGAGTGTAATCCTGATATGAGTGTTATGGAATGCTGGAAGAAATTTGACGTAGCAAAATGCATCGTAAACATAAAAGAATCATTGGACGAACTGACACCACACACATTGAAGTCATACTGGAAAAAACTATGGCCTGCTCTGACTGCGGAAAATGAAGAAGAATCCGTGCAAGTTCAAACTTTGACTTTGGTTTAAGAATGGCAAATGAGCTTTGCGATTTCTTTATAAACATTGATCCATCTATGGAACGAAGTCTTAATTTTAAGAGGCAAATTGGTAATGCGACTGCTGAGTATCAGTCTGAATTGAAGGAGCTATTAAAAACTGCCAACCAAGAGAAAATAACAAAATTCTTCAAACCATTGCCTAAGCCTGAGGATAATGATTATTATATAATCAAAATGTTCAATAACATCAATAAAATTGATTTTCTTATATATTTGTGTTTTTTATTCTGGCACCTAGGCACGTATCCCCTATAAACCCATATAAATTACCATTCTGTATTCACGGTTTCTGTATTCGCGGCATATTTATGGAACGTATACCCCGCGAATAAAGAGATTTTACTGTATAAATCGTAGCTGTGGCAATTGTCTTGTTTTATTGAAATTTTTTTTTTAGGATAGCAACAGATTTTTCGCTAGGTTTTAACTTAGAGGTTTTTTATTTTTAGTAGTGTAGCGTAGAAAGATTCCTGTTTAGGGTCACATGGTTGGAGCTTCTTTGGGATTCTCGCCTAATTAAATGAATGTATATTGTATAATATAGCGACATAAATACAATTTAAAATTTAAATTGATAGGTAACTGTTAACTTCACAACACTAATGTGATTTTTGACCTATAATGAATTATTTAAATGAATAATTAAATGCGGGTTAGGCCTGTTTTAATTTAAATGTGTCGCCAATATTTATGTACATAAGTACTAGCTTAATTTGGATGAATCATAGTTTTATCGTACCTTACGTTACGTCAAGTGTTATCAGGAACAACAACATAACATTTACTCATGAAAAACTTCAGCAGAGATCCGTTGTCATATATGGAACAAAACGAAAACAAAAACATTTCAAATTTTAGTTATAAAAACTGTCCCTGATATTTTTTTATTACAAAACTAACTTAACTTTGATTATGTTCCGTTTGGAGGAGAGACTCTTGGGCCGTGGGCTTCAAATGAACAGGCGCTAATTTAAGATTTGATTTTGAATATGATCACTCAGTTACATCTTTTGTCTTTATTTATCTTTTTTTCCCTGTTATGTGGTATTGTTTGTGGTGTAAATAAAGTTATTGAACTTATCTGTTAAACGTTACATGTGATACTTACAAATGTAGGTATTTATTATTACCCTGTAGATAACGATATGATAAATCCAGAATGCCTTCGAAACACCCAACTTTCAAAACTCGCTACTAAATATAATATATAATAGGATTGGACAATTTACACCAATTGACCTAGTCCCATGCTAAGCTGGTGAAGCTTGTGTTATGGGTAGGTACTAGGCATCGGATATACATACATATTATAGATATATAGACATATAGATACATATTTAAAGACCCAAAACCTAAGCACAACACCAAATGCTCATCACATCAATGTTTGTCTCAGCCGGGGATCGAACCCGGGACCCATGGATTCGCAGTCAGGGGTACTAACCACTAGACCAATGAGCCGTTAAATACATAGTATATAATACAATACATTGTTTGAATCAGGAAATTAAATCAAATTCTCTAAGATGGATAGGATTTCGCGATGGCAAATACTTATCCAAGTAGAAATGTTTTCTGTTAGTATTTTCTTAGTCAAACGCTTCTCTTAGCAAAATTCGTAATAATGTTGACGGTAAAGGTTCGCTCGGCAGCACCCAGCCCGCGTGTTGGGTGTTGGAGACAACAAAATAACGAACTCAACTTGAAGAACAGAATAGAATTTGTTTTTTTTCATTTCTCCCGGACATACATAGGAAACTGCGATTTTTCTGAAAATTTTAAAAATTCAACCTCCCTAAAAACGCTCCAAGGTTATAATCAGTTTCCATCCCCAATTTTTTACTCTATCCCCATCAAGTGCGGAAGGTTTACTACCGTATTTGTTTAATCACCCCATTTCGATCTCTCAAGATTTATCCAGGCCGTAGGCGTCTCCAGGAAAGCAGATGCAGGGTTCCAGATTTTCCTATATGATGAGAGTTTAAAACCATACTTATAATTTTTTAGCATAGCATATAATATTTTGGGCAAAATCGAATAATTCAAAAATGGAAGCCAAAGTTTGTTCAGTCGCTCCCTGTCTATCTGCTACCGTTTGGGCGGTCCATCGTTTTTTTTGTGGTATGAAAGTTGGAGACGGAGACCCGGTTTCGCAAAATTTCAGCGATAAGGTAAACGGTGATTTTAGCGACAAAAATTTCCTTTCCACCCAATCGCCACCAGTTTTTGAACAATTTTTTTGTGCGTGTTGTGATCTTAAAGTGCGTTAGAATAGAAATGCAATATCATTGATACCACTGTCAACTGTGTATTGTGTGACCTTTTTTCATCTTATCGAGTTAAATCAAGGATATATAGAGGTAATCTGAACTTTGTGGTAGTTACATATATATACAGATTATATAGCTAAAAATATTATTATATTGCGGTTAACATAATAGTGAAAAATTATACAAAAGACAAAGGCAAAACAAAAAAAATAAGATAAAATATTGGTTTATAAACAGTAAAATAATACTAACCGTATTTTATTGTTACTCAATTGAAATATAGGTTATAAGTGTACCTTTAAAAG